CTTTGCCTGCCTGCAGCTGGCTGCCTTGACCTAAAATAATAGTTCCTGCACAGGATAATACATGCTATAAAACACTATGCCCTTAGAGAGGGGCTGCTTGCTTTCTCTGGGGAAGACGGATCATGTCCTCATTAGGACAACAGTTACTGTGTCCATGCATTTCTTCTTGCTTCATACCTCATCTCACACTTCACAAACACCCAATTAGGGACTTCAACCAATACTTATGGTGCCAATACTAATAACTTTCACATCAAAACCTCAAGAAATAACATAATGATGGGTGAGAGGAAAGGAAATCCTGTGAGTGAACTGAAATGTCCAGAAAAGACATAAAGTAGAAACAATCGGGGAAATGCTCATTTAGAAATAAACCTGGGAGTGTGGTGTGGCAGAGATAGATAGCCACCAGCAATGTCTGCTCGCTGTGTCTACCTTACCAACAGAAGTTTCTGTTGTTTGGTTCAGTAGTTAACAAATTACAGTTCCTGCCTCCCTTGCAGCTAGGCAGAGCCCTGTGAACAGCACTGGTCAATGTGGTGTGGATAGAACCTGCCCAGGATTTCCAAGGAAGGCTTGCCTTCCCAATAGAAGCCCAGCCCTTTTTCTCTGTCACTTCCTGCTTCATCTACCTGTTAGAACATGAGGCCGGAGCTAGTACCCACACAGATAAAAGCTACGTGCTAAGTAGTGCCAGCTGAGAAAACTACAGATGGAGCCCTGGGCATTGATGGTGCCATGGAGTTCTTGCGCCTGCCTCAGATGTCACGTACCCTGGAAGAACATGAAACTTCCCTTTGCTAACACATGTGCAATGAGAATGGGTCTGCTTGACGACACAGCCACAGGTTCCTCACCTATAAAATAGGTGGGGGGATAATAAGATTAATTGTTATGAGAAATTAGAGATCATATAAGAAAAGTGCCCAGCACAGAACCTGGCATGCAGTTAACACTGAATAAAAGGGAAGAATCATAATTTTCACTTTGGGCAAGCTGTTCAAACCCATGAGGTCATTCTGTACAAATTCTGAGGTTAAAATAGAAAACAAAGTTAAATTAGATGCTTACTGAACACGACTCTGAGCCCACCAATGTCCCAAGCGTGCTAGAGACACAGTCAGACTGCCACAACGGCAGCGCCTGGAGGTTTCTGTCTGAGCAATGAAATACTGTAATGCATTGAGCAATGAGATCCATGGTAGTAAAATCAGTTAGCGTCGGATTTACAGAAGCCAGTGTTTCCGTAAATTGTGTCATAGAAACCAGCAGTGAAACTGCCATAGGTAGCTCTGTCTACTTTGTAAAGCATTTTCCTATCTGTTGCTTCACTGTATCTTCAGAACAGCCTGTGTAGGCCTGAAAGGTGACCCAGCCTGCTCAGGGCAGCCATGCCAGGACAAGGACCCCGTGCCCCTAGCTCCCAGCCTCAGTCCTGTTGTTCCTGCTCAGAGCCCTGGGTCACATCCACCCGGATATACAGCTCAGCAGCGGGTCTACATTGTAGCTGGACGGGGCAGAGTGAAGGGGAAGAATGCAGCACACTGCTGGGCCTTGACGTGTTATCTCATAACAATCTGTCAAAAATGCCCTGACATTCTCCCAACATTTGCTTTATTTCATTTTTTTTTTTTTTTGAGACAGCATCTTGCTCTTGCTCTGTCCCTAGTCTTCTGCCATAGGACAGCATTATCTTATCCATTTGGTAGATGAGAAAGTTAAGAATGGGGATAAACGAGGTCCAGATCACACAGCTTGAACTCCCTGTTGAATCAGCCCTGGACTGCGTATATTTGTGTCTGAGCCCTTTTCTGGGATGAAGACTGCAGTCGCATGCTCCCAGCGACACCCTGGAGTGCAGATGACAACATGGCTAAAGACATGGGACGTTTGGGTGTTGGAGTCCTGGAGGTGCCGTGGGCCATGCAGCAGTGTTTTCAGGTCTATTTTTAGTCTTCAGTGTATTTCCAATGGGCACAGTAAAAGCCCTGACATTCTCCCAATATTTACTTTATTTTCCTTCTTTTTGAGACAGGATCTTGCTCTTTCCCCTAGGCTGGATACAGTGGTGTGATCATGACTCGCTGCAGCCTTGAACTCCCAGGCTCAAGTGATCATCCCATCTCAGCCTCCTAACTAGCTGGCACTACAGGTACATACCATGGTGCCCAGCTAATTAAAAAATTTTGTTTTGTAGAGACGAGATCTCACTATGTTGCCCAGGCTGGTCTCAAACTCCTGGCCTCAAGCAATCCTCCCACCTCAGCCTCCCAAAGTTATGGGGCTACAGATATGAGCCATTGCACCTGGCCTGTTTTATTTAAATTTAAAAGCTATGTTGGGCCGGGCACTGTGGCTCACACCTATAATCCCAACACTTTGGGAAACGGAAGAGAGTGGGTCACCTGAAGTCAGGAGTTTGAAACCAGACTGACCACCACGGTGAAACCCCATTCCTACCAAAAATACAAAAATTAGGCAGGCATGGTGGCAGACACCTGTAGTCCCAGCTACTCTGGAGGCTGAGACAGGAGAATCGCTTGAACCTGGGAGACGGAGGTTGCAGTAAGTCAAGATCATGCCACTGCACTCCAGCCTGGGAGACAGAGCAAGGCTCTGTCTCAATAAATAAAAATAAATAAATAAATAAAAGTTATGTTGGAAAGAATGCAGTCTGCATATATCTCTGTAGGCATTTGTGCCTGGAAACATTGGTATAGAGTAATAAAAGAGACCAGGCTTTAGAACCAGCTTTTTTTTATAGAAAAGTCTAGACAGCTGTGGCTGTAGTGGAGCAGCATAGGACCTTACATAACCTCAGCAACGAATCAGGGGCCACACCATGGGCTCCAAGCCTTATTAAATCAGAGGGGTTTGCTGTTAAAATGCAGACCTGGGTTCAAATCCTTCCTTCTTCACTTACTAGCACATTTCTCAGCAAGAAGGAAATATAGCCAAGATCACCAGCCACCAGTATCCGCATTCCCAGGCTGCACAAGATCACTGAAATGGCAGCCCACTTACTTGGCTTCCTTCTACTAAGCAAGCCACAGTCATTTTCATCCACAGACAACGAAAGTCACACACGCACAGCCAACTGGGTTCATTTCTTGAATTAAACACTTCCCTTAGGCATTTGCCAGAGAGATTTCCATGAGTCATTCAAAAAGCTTGAAACAGGTGAACACAAACAACCATTTTTGCACTATACTTAGAATGTCACAGAGAGCTCTGTCTCAACTTAGATGTTATTATGGAAACATCAAAAGGTGGGCTATTTCTTTTCTCCCTTTATTCTAAAAAAGGAGGCTTTTAAAATTGTTTTTCAAAGTGCCACAGTCAGACAAAATAAACAAGGAACAACATTTACTTAATCCCACAGATTTGGCCATGTTTTATCCGATGAGAAGGTGGTTGGTGCTAAGATACAAAATAGATTCTTGGGATTCTAGCTGCATAGTACAAATATTCTTTTCCTTCGGGATGTCCCTAGAACATAATGATAATGAGTGTAACAAATTTTAAAGGAGACAAATGCAATAGGAAAAAAAAATTCCTGTCTGAGCCTTTTACGTGTGAGAAGTGCCAAAGTTAATAATGACATAGTCCCCATACTAAAAGCCTCAGAAATAATCCTTGAATATTATTTCTCAAACAGTCTCACAAATATTACCAGAATAGTCTGCAAAGCACTAAAGAACGTCACAACTATGATAAGAAAGAATTAGTCAGTACTGTCAGTTACAAGGACGCTTGTATATATCCAGCTGAATAAGAGTTCCTGGCAAATCACATTTGCAACTTTTTACCTACAGAATGTCCCTGAAAACTTTTCACCCCCTGTGCAGTTTCTCTGTACAGATAAGGCTTTCTTTCCCACATTTACAAGGACTCCCAGGCCCCTGTCACTGCTCCCCTGTCCCTCTTTTCAGAGATATCACTTAATTATCCATTTTCAAATCAGATAAAACAGAAACAACATTTCTGGATCTGGACCACAATGATAGAATTTTACATTGAAGCTGTGGGGAAATTACCATGTTCAGTCATGGGAAAGTCTTAATTTTAAAAAGTGTTAGGCAAAGAACTGAATTGGGAGACTTCCCAGCCATAGAGAATGTTGCAAACATGATTACAAAAGCACATACTGACTCAGGCAATGAACATTACATTTTGATGGTTGTGGATTTTGTTACAGGACAAAGAATCAAAGACTTGGCCTGGGGAAGTGTGTGTGTGTGTGTGTGTGTATGTGTGTGTGTGTGTGTCTGTGTACATTTATGTATGCTTGTATACGTCTGTATGTATGTGTGCATGTGTGTGTAAATGTATATGTGCACAGGTATATGTATGTGTTTACATATGTGTGTAAATGTGTACGTGCACATGTGTATGTACACATACATGTGTGTTTTATGTGTGTGTTCAGGTGTGTATGTGTGCATGTATGTGTGTATGTGTATGTATATGTGTGTGCACATGTGTGTATGACTATTTGCATGGGCGGGTATGTGTCCCTGTATATGTGTGTGTGTTGGGTTTTCTTGTGACCAATATGACCTGTTGACGCTTCTACTATTCTCCTAGTCTGAAATGCTTTATAAACCTTGTGTGCTTAAACCAGGGTTTACATCGTACTTGAACTGACTACACCATGTGCATTTGAGGGCACTTGGAGAAAATCAGGACTCATTTTGAGAGAAAGCACTTTATAAATGCAGGAAAGAATTCCTTGGATTGGGGCAATTTCTGAGATAAACATATCCAACTTTATTTTTTCAGTTGAAGTTTCTAATTAGCCTGCATTCAGTCTCAGACTCTACAGAATCTGCTGCTGAGACATTTTTTTTTGTTTGCATAACTACATTCTTTTACTTAGAAACATCCGTGGGGAATAGAAGAATTCAGAAGGAAGGATGCTGGCGGTGAGATGGACTAGAGAGGAAGATCTCCAAATTGTCAGGGCCCAGCCAGCTCCCATGGCACCCTGGGACACTCACCATGGTCGTGGGCAAACACCAGCAGGTCCAGCCCCTTCAGCATCTGAGCCAGCTCGTCATAGCGGCCACAGTGCTCCCCAGCTCCATGGGAAACAAAGATGAGGGCCCTGGAGGGACAAGAAGGGAGCCTCGTTAGAAAAGCCCAGGGCCAGTGCCGTGGTTCACGCCTATAATCCCAGCACTTTGGGAAGTCGAGGTGGGTGGATTGCCTGAGGTCAGGAGTTCAAGACCAGCCTGGGCAATATGGTAAAACCCTATCTCTACTAAAATACAAAAAAAGCCAGCTGTGGTGGCATGGACCTGTAATCCCAGCTACTCATGAGGCTGACGCAGGAGAATCACTTGAACCTGGGAAGCAGAGGTTGCAGTGAGCTGAGATGACACCACTATACTCCAGCCTGGGAGACAGAGCAAGGCTGTCTCCAAAGAAAAAAAAAAAGAAAAACCCAGACGGCTGCCGCTGTGCTGCAGCAGCTCCAGAGCTTATATAATCTTGGCAATGCCAGGAGCCATACCATGGGCTCCAGGTGTTGTCAAATAAGAGGATTTTGCTGTTAAAACGCTGGACTTCAGAGTCTCACAGAATAGAGCCCAAATCCCTGCTCTTCCTGTGAGCTCTTAGGCAGAGCTCTGGTTCCATGAAGGTTCATTTCTTCGCCTGTAACATGGTAAGAATAGCATCACCCTGTGGGTGCTTGTGAGGCTTATGGGAGCTAATCAATGCCATGGCCCAGGCAGAATGCTGGCACGGGGCAGGCAGGCCCTCCCCCAGTGCCTGCTTCCTCCCTCGGGGGCAAATGCGGTGGCATTTAGATTCCAAACTGTCCCATTTTCAAGGCCTATATTCTTAGCAGAAGACCCACAGAGAGCTAGGGTCTCCTTCAGGCACAGAGTAAATGCCATGAGTGATACCCACCAACTTCTGCAGCCGCTGATGGTGATGAGGGGAAAGAGGAGGAGAAGAACAAGCTGCTACCTTCCTGAGCATTTACTATGCACCAGTTCCTCTGTAACTTCACACGCAAGATTTCTAACCCTCCAGTCATCGGATGATTTATCTTCTTCACAGAAGAGGGTCAAATGCATAGAAGTTAAGTGAGTTGGGCCAGGCATGGTGGCTCATACCTAAGATCCCAGAACTTTGGGAGGCGGAGATGGGTAGATCACTTGAGGGCCAGAAGTTTGAGACCAGCCTGGCCAACATGGTAAAACCCAGTCGCTACAAAAAATACAAAAATTAGCCGCATGTGGTGGCATAGGCCTGTAATCTCAGCTACTTAGGAGGCTGAGGCATGAGAATCACTTGAACCTAGGAGGCAGGGATTGTGGTCGACCCAAGATCATGCCGCTGCACTCCAGCTTGGGCAACAGAGAGAGACTCTGTCTCAAAAAGAGAAGTTATGTGAGTTGTCCAAGTCACATGGCAAGTTGGCAAAACGCCATTCAGAGTATGTTACTGCTGGCTTTTGGGTCTCAAAGAAGCTGTTGTAGGGCTCAGAGCACAAGCCATGGAGTCAGGACAGGTGTTGGCTCAGCAAAGGCCCCCACCACCCGATCTGGGATAGCCCCTCCCGGGGCTTTCTGCTGGGCCCTGGCCCCTCCACACACACCTGCGGACCACCGCTCTGGTTCCCCAGTCGCTTGCCTGCTTCCTGACACCCCACCTTGACATCAGCTCGCAATCCTCTGAGGACAAGACCCCAAAGCTGCATCCCAGCTGAGCAATTTGAGCAGGGGCCCAGCTGAGGACATGGACACCTCATTCAACAGCTGTGTTCTTCCTATGACTCTTTTCAGACAGGATGTATAAGGGCAGAACAGCACCGGTTTATTTTATCCTCTTTCGTATTTTATTCTTTGAGTATCATTCAAAGCTCTGGCATTAGCCCCATTTTTCAAATCACCTTTGCCATCTGTCTTCCCTGCCCTTTTCCTAAAAACACCAGAAAAATGTTCATGCCCTCTTCACTGCTCCATAGAATGCCCAGCCACCTCCACTCTGCCAGCTGTGAACTTGTGTAAATGACAACTGCCCGCCTAACATTTCTGGGATTGGCTGACGGGATTTCTTTCCTGCATTTCCCTTGGCTACTGAGGAGCATGACTGGAACCTCTAACTAGTCAGCATCTTCCATCTTCTAAAGGGGCTGTGCTTCCAGAAGGGATAGCTTGAGTACTTTAACCCCCTTTGGGAGCGCGACCACTGCTGTCATAATTCAGCCTACTGTTAACGCAGATGGACAAGTCACTGAGCTGGATCATGCAACTCGCCCGCCTCTTACCGCAGCCAGGGGTCACCCAGCAGAAAAGGACTTCGGGGTTCCATTTAGCAACCAAAGAAATGGCACAAGGCATTGTCACCATGCCTGGAATTGCCTGTCATGAGAATCCAGCCCCAAGTCAATATGTGGAAAAATATGTAGTCTCTTACTCTACAGCAATTCCTTCTAATCCAGAGGTTCTCAACTTTGGCCACACATTGGAACCACCTGGGGAGCTTTCAAGAAGGCTAATGCCTGGGTCCCACCCCCAGGGGACTTCTGGGTTTGACTGCGCTGGGGTTGGAAAAGCTCCTCGGCAGCTCCAATGTGAAGCCAAGGAGGAGAAGCACCTGTTTTCATCAGTGTTGAGTTTGGGCCACAGCGCTGCTCAGAGGCTACATGGAACTTAAGTGTGGCGAGAATGCAACCATTGTGGAAACTTTGGGCCCCCTTAGAGCCACCGATCTCCCTAGGGGTTATACTGGGAAGACCACAGGTTCTAGTGATAGAAGCTGACGGATACCGCCATCCCACTGCAAGTGGTGGGGGCCACTGCCACCCTTCTCTCTGCACAGGAAGAACCCATTGGCAGCACCTGCAGGCTCAGGCTTCCCACAGCCCCACACTTCCACCTCCAGCCCTGGTCAGCACCCTGAGAGCCACCATCAGACACCTGGATTCATTCTGATCTTCAGCTTCTGTTGTGGATTTCTGTTGTGGTAAGTGGGTTTCTCCTTAGTGCTTGGATTTAGATCCTGCCTGGACCCTGATTCTGATAGCTCAATCTCCCCTTCCCCCTGGCTGCCACATTTATACATTCCAAGGACCTTCCTCTGTTTTGTAAAATCTGTCCAGTAAAGTGAAATCAAATTATGTTACTCTTCTGCTTTAAGCCCTCCAGAGACTTTCCACTGCAACAGAACAAAGCCTCTGAAACACCTCTTCTCCTCTCTCCTGCTCTCGAGCTCCTCCAAGGCCTCCTTTCTGGTGCCCAATGTGCTAGGCAATGGTGTGCTATTAAATGTTTAATAACTGGAGGTGGGGATGGTCCTAGAATTCCTCAACCCACTGTAGTGCCCAGGGCAGGAGCCTCCTGGAAGCCTGCCTATGCTGCGCTTGCTGGCACCTGGGTGCTTCACCCCACGCGCTGTGAGCACAGCCTCCTCCTGGGAGACCTTCCCCACTCCTTCCCCACACATCTGCTGCACCTGGAGCCACTGCTGCCACACACTCCTCTCTTCAGACCCCTTCCTGTCCCGTCCCAGCCTTTCCCAGCTTCTGGCCCTGTTGCCATGAACACAGATGGCCATATCCTGAGCTATGTGTGTCTGCATTTGTCTCTCTGGGTAAAGGGACAGCCCCCAGCTCCAGGCTTCCTGATGGAAGGTCACATTCACCCCTGGATGCTGGGCACTGCGTGGAAGCTTCCCCTTCAGGGTTTCACAAAGCATTGTGCTTCTATTTCTACTCTGAGAACATACATGACCGAGCACTGAGAAACCCAGACATGGAGGAAATGCACATCCCAGTTGCTGGGAGGCTGTGAACAGAGAACAAAGTTCAGCCAGAACAACCTGGTTGGATTCCCAGGTTTCCAGTGTGAACACGCAGAACCTTGGACAAGTCGCCTGATGGCCCTCAACCCGTCTCCTTGGCACTGAAATAGAAAGGGTGGGATGACAGCAACAGTGGGTCCTACTTTTCTTGAGCTGAGTCTGCAAATGTGAATGAGAGCTTGTTACATGCCAGGCCCCAGGACGCTGAGATGAACAAACAACGTTGTCCCTGCCCGCACACAGCTTGCAGCAGCACAGCAGAGAACATGTACTGTGGGGAGCACTTTGAGCACCACCAGTGGGTCAACAGATATGGGAGCCTGACCTAGAATCCAGAGAATAGCCGGGGAAAGCCCCTGAGTGTCTGAGCGGCTGCAAGCTGTCCAGGTGCAGGGGTCCTGCCGAGGACACACAGGTGTGCCTACTCCAGGAGCAGAAGAAAGGCCCCAAGTCCAGAGTGCCGTGTGGAGGAGGAAGGTGAGGGATGCACGGAAGGCTGGGACCACAGCCCCAGGGACAGCAGTGCGGCACTGGGGGTGCTCCTCTGTGCAGAGGATGGTACCCTGCAGGGCAGCGACCTGATCTGACTTCCGCTTTGTGAGGACTGCAGGGCTGCTGCGAATGGGGTGGGAGACAAGAGACGACGTTCATCAAGCAGTCGACAGGACCCTGAGCAGGTGCCAAGAAAGTGGTTGGTTCCCGCCCTTCCTCCTCTGCCGTTCTGCAACCGCAACAACACGCAGCAGCAGAAAATTAGCAGAGCCATTTATGCAGACAAGGCAATACCCACCGCAGCAGAAATTAGGTTGCAGAGGAGGCTAGCTAAGATCTTTTTCCTGGAACTTCTTTAACGGCTGCAGCCAGTTGGGAGCCAGTCGTTCAGGGAGAAGGCAATGACTGTGGGAGGGGCGCCCAGCCCCAGAAGCAGATGGCCCGCCTGGCATCCAGCCCCGGGAGGTGGGGCAGCTCCCAATAAAGCACACGCAGCCCTCGAGATGAACAAGCCACAGAGCCTCTCAGAATGTACAAACCAAGCTGCTTTATCCTCTCCATTGAAAAACGAATGCCCCCTTTATGCCTTTGTTTATTAATTAGGTGACCTAACCTCTCCGGGCTTCAGTTCACTCACCTGTGAAGCGGGGATAATCCTGACACCACCGGCCTGAGAAATGACACTGTGAGGTAAACGATGAAATGCGGATGGGGCAGGGGTCTTGCCTGGGCTAGTGAAAGCCCTCCATCACTGTCCGATAGGAAGCCCTTTGCTCTGATGGTGCAGGTGAGCCACTT